CCTGCAGCGCCGCCACCTGCGGGGTCTGGTACACTCTCCGCCGAGGGGGCTCCCACTCCAGCTTCACCATGCGAAAGGCAACGTCACCCCCGCGGCCTCCATGCGACGAACGATCCGAATGTCTGTGTCCCCGTCGATCAGAAAGCTCACATTCAATACCATGCAACACCTGGTCCCAAGCGCGCTGCAGGCCCACCTGGCCCTCAGCTGTCAGAACACAATGTAATGCACGTTCCCATTCACGAGTGCGCGGGAAGAAAGCACAGCCAATCGGAGCCTCGGACCCCCAGCCACGAGGCTCCACGGGCAGGCGAGCCCGCGCCTCAACATCTTTCACAGCCAAGGGAAAGTGAACAGGGTGATGCGGGTGCAGCTCAGACTCCTGGTCCACCCAAGGCGGGTTCACACGCAAAGCCAAATTTCTGCTCACAATGCCGAAGTCGACGATGCTACCGTGACCTTTCACGCAAGTACTCTCACGCGGCACACAGTGGGCTCCTGGGATCCCTTGGCCCCGACCTGTCATCAGCACATCCGAGCTCATGTTGAAGTCACCAACGCAGACCCAGTCAAGCTTTAAAGCCGAAAGCAACTGCAAGTAGTGTTGCAAGTGGGCCTGAATGAACGCGTTCTCATCATTGAGCCCGACCGAGGAGGAGGAGGAGGAGGAGGAGGAGAAGGAGGGGGAGGAGGAGGAGGGGGAGGAGGACAAGTAGGAGGATGAGGAGGGAGGAGGAGAGGAGGGGCGAAATAGAAGGAGGAGGGACGAGGAGGAGGAAAGAGGGAGAAGGAGGAGGACGAGGAGGGAGAGGAGGAGATACAAGAAGAGGATGAGAAGGAGGAGGACGGAGGAGGAGGAGGAGGGAATGAGGAGGAGGAGGGGAGGAGGAGGGAGGAGAGGAGGAGGAGGAGGAGGAGAGGAGGAGGGAGGAGGAGGAGGAACGAGGAGGAGGAGAAAGAAGAAAGAGGATGAGGGACGGAGGAAAGAGAGGAGGACGGATGAGGAGGAGGAGGATGAGGAAGAGAGAGAGGAGAGGATGAGGAGGAAGAGGGGGAGGAAGGAGGAGGAGGAGGAGGAGGAGGAGGAGGAGGAGGAGGAGGGAGGAGGAGGAGGAGGAGGGATGGAGGAGGGAGGAGGAGGGAGGGCGAGGAGGAGGAGGAGGCGGAGGAGGAGGAGGGAGAATGAGGAGGAGGGGGAGGAGGAGGAGGAGGAGGAGGAGGAGGAGGAGGAGGAGGAGGAGCAGGAGGAGGATACGGCACTGCCGAGGGAAGCGTCGCGCTGTGCACGAGCGCCCACCAAGGGCGCCAAGCTGCTAGCAGCCTGGCAGGCCTGTGAGGAGGCTGGGGCCCCACCAAGAGGATCTCGGGTACCAGCCACACAGACAAACGAAACGGGGATCAAGCCCCGCAGCCTTGGTGAGACGATGGGCCCCCGTGGAGCCTGACCCCGTGAGTCTCAGGGTCTGAGGCAAGAAGCGAACGAGGTGCGGGAAATCGTCGTGAGCCCTCCATTCCTTCGTCCGCAGGATGAAAACCCCGCATGAAAAGGCGTCGGTTGCGCACCGCCCGCTCCGATAGACGGTGCGTGCCTCCCGACGGGCAATCAATTAGAAGGTGACCAGCCGTGCCCGTCGTGAAAGCCCCACAGGAAAGCAGCCTGTTGATGCACATGCGTCTCCACTATTGCATAGAAATCATAGTCAGAGTTCTCGATGTACGACCAGGCTTTGTCCCCCATGCAAAACACATTGGCGTATAATAAGCGTGATACGCCATTCTTGCGCCCCCCGTTCACGGCAACAGGCCCCTGCGCACCTGGCGCCGTCTCGGCGCTCGGCGCTGCAGGAGCTAGTCACGAGCTGGCCGTGCCAGCTCCTCCTGCACCAGCGGCCGCGCTCGCAGGCGACTGGCCCCTGCCCTTGCCCTTCTGCCGCTGGCCATTCACGCCCTTGCCGATGTGCTGCTCCGCCATGAACTTAGCTGCAGAGAGGCGCTGCGCCCCGGCCTCGACCTCAGCCGCCTGAGCTGCTGTAGCCTGTGGGGCGGCGGCGGCCGCGGCCGTGGTGGCTGCGCCGCTGGCCGCCTCAGTGCGGGGTTCGCCCGCAGGGGCCCCGTCGCCGCCACCACCGCCAGGTGCAGCAGCAACTCCATCACCACCAGCACCTTCGTCCTCGGAGTTCACATTCCGCTTCTTCGCGAGGCGCGAGGCGATCTCAGCACGATGCTTCTCCATGCGGGTCAACCAATCCCGCACCTCGGACATCTTGGCCGTCATCTCCTTCTTCGTGGCCAGCAAGCGCTCGTGGATCTCCTTGAGACCCGCGCGCTCGCCCTCCTCGCACTCCAACTCATCTAACTTGTTGAAGAAATCCGAATCCCATGGTATATGAAATATACGCTTGTCATCGTTGGCATTCATGGCCGCGTCGCCGCCAGTAGCCCCAGCAACGCTGCCCACGCCCTCTGCGTGTGCCACAGCTGCGGCCGCTGCCTTCCTGGCAAGGGCTGCCTGGGCCAGCTGCTTGGACAACTCCGCCTCCTTGAGCTCCGCCGCTTCGAGGGAGCCTCGAAGGCGCAACGCGTTGGACACGCCCTGGGAGTGTGTGTGATCCGCGTCGCGAAACACTCCGCCAGCACGCCGTAGCAACTCCACGGCCGAAGTCTCCTGTTGCTTGGAGTCCGCAGCCTCGCGCTCCAGCTTGACGACCTGCTGCTGCAGCGTGTTCTTGAGGTTGTCATCACATGTGACCGCCGCAGCGCGAGCCAACAGGGAGGCGACCTCAGCTGGGCTGCCGTCCTCGGTAGGCTGCTCGCGCCACGGCGGCTTCTTGCCACTGCCACGCCATAGGCCGCTCTTGCCGCCAGCCCTCGGGCCGTGCGCTGGCGAAAAGCTCCTTGAGGCGCGGGGGATCCCCTTCGGGTGCACGAGGGCGGACTCCTCCTTCTCATTCTGAAGATCGAACTGCACCTTCGGCCCTGTGGTGGACTTCGGACGAAACAGCAACACTTCTTCCCCACAGTGACCGCAGATGCACAAGTTACGAGTCAGGACGCTGTTGTACGCAGGTCTGGCATGACGCACAGCGAGACCACAGTCGAGCACCAGGCGCCATGGCTGCAATTGGATACTAAGAATTCTCTCCTGCTCTAGTCGGCGCCGCATAATCCCTCAGCGGGGTGCGCGGGCAAAGTCCCTCAAGCGCTTCGTGAAAGCACAGGAAAATAAGCCCCGCCAAAATGGTTCGGGCCCAAGTGGCCTGAGTGGTGGAGGAGGAGGAGGAGGAGGAGGAGGAGGAGGAGGAGGAGGAGGAGGAGGAGGAGGAGGAGGAGGAGGAGGAGGATGAGGAGGAGAGGATGAGGAGGAGGAGAAGGGAAAAAGGAGGAGGAGGAGGAGAAGAGGAGGAGGAGGAGAGGAGGAGGAAAGAGGAGGCGGAGGCGGATGCGGAGGCGGAGGAGGAAGGAGGAGGAGGACGAGGAGGAGGGAGGAGGAGGGAGGAGGAGAATGGAGGAGGAGGTGGAGGAGGAGAGGAGGAGGAGGAGGAGAAGGAGGAGGAGGAGGAGGGGGATAGGAGGAGGAGGAGGAGGAGGAGGAGGAGGAGGGGAGGAGGAGGGAGGCGGAGGAGGAGGAGGAGGAGGAGGAGAGGAGGGAGGGGGGAGGAGAGGAAGGAGGAGGAGGAGGAGGAGGAGGAGGAGGAGGAGCAGCAGGAAGAGGAGCCAATCCCGCAGCCCTCAGGCGCCGCGCTGACCGGGCGAGCAAGCGGACGAGGAGGCGGCGGCTCGCCGGGCTCCAGGCACGGCCCGGCGCACAGGCGCCTCGCGGCGGTGGGGTCTCGGTGGGATGGTGTCTCGGCAAATGTCTCGGAGGGGGCTCGGCGAAGGCCTCGGTGGGATGTCGGCGGGGTCTCGGTGGGGTCTCGGCGCGGTGGGTTCTCGGTGGAGGTCTCGGCGAGGGTCTCGGTGGTGTCCCCCTCCCAGGGGCTTGGCGCCCCAGAGGACCCCCTCCCCCCTTTTTGCTCGAAGAGCAGGTTGCGGGCCAAGTCAGCGCGCCACCGCTCGTCGGTGCTCATGCTCGGCGAGCGGCGGTCGGTCAGGCTTCGGATTCTGCATCTTGCCGCCTCGCGGCTGCCGCTCACTCCTCCTCCTCCTCCTCCTCCTTCTCCTCCTCCTCCTCCACAGATGAGCAACGAAGTGACGATGAAGATCACAATTTAATCGAACCGGCTTCTTCCCAAATTAAGCCCGCTAATCGACTGGGCGGACACCGGCAGAAACGCTGCGCAACCGAGCGCAGGGGCGGTCGCGCTGCCCACAGCTCAGTGCCCACAATCGTGAGCCGCCTCATGACGTTTGGGCTAGGCCCGAAACGCTGGTGGTGGGCTTGTGGCCTGCCTGTCCTGGGATTCGTGAGGTGTCTCGGGGATGCCTGTGGGCCTCTTGGGTTTCCGTCTCCGCAGGGTTGGGGCAAGGCCGGGCAGCGACGCCTCCTCCCTCCCTCCTCTCTTGTTTTCTCCCTCCTGTCTTCGCTTCCCTCCCTATTCTTCGGGTCGCTGTTGGGGTTCACACCTGTCTGGTTTTCCTCATGGGTTCCACGTCGCGCTGCGCAGACAGTTTTGCATAGTGGTTTCGGAAGGACTGCTTTCGAATTAGGTAGGTCTTTGCTCGAATCACATGCTGTGCATGGCCTCTTCAGTTGCCGCGCTCCTGTTAGCGAGTTGGTCAGCGGCCACCTCACGTGCAAAAGAGTGTACTTTGATTTCTCTCAATCGAGCAAACTGCACCCGTGCTAGCCCAAGCCAAGCCGAGCCGAATGCTCAGGCCAACTGCTATGTCAAAGCCTCATCGCTTCACGACTGGTCCGTTCCATGCACGTCGCCTCTGGGAAGAATAGCATGTTGTGCGCACAAGCAGCCCCCCAAAGAAGTCACGGCCAGCCAAGACCAAGACTACCTGGGGCATCGAACGTGGGGTCTCCTTAAAAACGTGAGGAGGGCGGCGGCCGCCTTGGTCTCCGCCACGGTCGCCTTGAACAGGGCGGCCAGGAGGTCCTCGCACGCCGTGTCCTTGAAGGCTCCCTTGTTCGCCTTCTTCCGCACGCCGTCGCCGCCGCCGTCGTCCGTTGTCGGTCGCTCGCCACCGCCGCCGCCGCCGCCGTCGTCGTCGTCATCGTCGTCGTCGTCGTCCTCGTCCTCGTCGTCGTCGTCGTCGTCGTTCTCGTCATCATCCTCGTCGTCGTCCTTGTCATCGTCCTCGTCCTCGCCGCCGTCGTCCTCGTCCTCGTCATTCCCGTCTTCGTCGTCCTCCTCCTCCTCCTCCTCCGCCCACCTCCGCCCACCTCCTCCTCCTCCTCCTCCTCCTCCTCCTCCTCCTCCTCCTCCTCCTCCTCCTATTCATCCTCCTCGTGCCCGGCGCGCTTGCTCGCCTCTGCTCTAAGCGACGAAACTTCGAAATGCTTCCAAAGTCGGGAGCTTTCTGATGCTCCTGGAATTCTCTGGATCTCTACGGCGCACTGAGAGCTTCTGGAGGGCCTCTGGGAACTTCCCGAGATGCCCATGGAGGGATCGGGAGGTGGCACAAGCCGTGGGTCCAATGTCGCGCACCTCGGAGGAGCGGAGGGAGGGCCGAGAAGGGCAGCAGCCCTCTGGCCCCAGACCTCGGAGGCTGGCGCGCGGCTGCCTTGGCGCCCTTGGAGAAGACCCGGGGATGGGGAGGCGGGAGGAAGAAGCGTGGAGGGGTTGACTGGGGAGGACGGAAAAGGGGGCGGGGGGGGGAGGGGAGGGGAAGGAAGGAGGGGAGGGGAGGGGAGGCGGGGGGGAGGGGGCGGGGGACGGGGGGAAGAGAGGGGCAGAGGGGGAGAATAGAGAAGGGGGAGGAGGGGCAGGGGAAAGATGGGGACGAGGCTAGCTGAAAGCCAAGAATGAAGCGGGGGGGAGGAGCTGGAGGGCAAGGACAACCTGCTCCCTCATCCCTCCTCCCTCCTCCCTTTCTCCCCCCACGCCTATATCCGCCATCTCCCCTCCCCTTTCCCAGCCTCCCTCCCCACCTTCCTCGCGCGGAGGAGGCGGAGGAGGAGGAGGAGGATTTGCATCTGGATTTCCTACAGGTGTGCAAGAACGCCTCAGAGGGCGTGGGCCACGTTGAATAACGATGTGCCCCAGCACGGCGGTGCCCAAAGCAGCGCGCGCGGGGTCGGGCAGCCCCAGAGCTATTCGCGATGTGCGGCCTGCTGTAATGGTGTCCCCTGTGCGGCAGATCGCGCGGGGCATGCTGCCTGCGACGAATCATCAGGATTCGCCGCAGCGCAGCTGAACCCGCTTGCTGGTCGCGCAGTGGCGGGTGTGGCCTATAGTCGAGCGGCCGCGGGACCCCAGACTGAGTGTGTTGGGCCAGCCTGTGGCTTGCAAATGCGGCCGACACTGCCGCAGCCAGGATCGAATCTGCCTCTCTCGTGTTCCTTGCTGCTGCGCGTGACTCTCAGGGAGGCTATGCTACTCTGGGTCCTCCACGATGGAATCCCAAAAGAAACTGCGCGAGAGGGTCCAGCGCATGATTCCCCAGGAAGATTGTTTACTTCCCTTGTGACTTCCAAGAGAAGCTGCGGTACACTGTGTCCTACATGCTCGACCCCTTCCCAAGAGGAGCTCCGCTGCTCCGGTACCTCCCTCTGATGCCCAACAACGCCAATACACCCAAAGAAAAACTGCGCTGGCCTGGATCCAGCATGTTGAATTGTGAAGGACGATCCGATGCTCTGATGGGGCCAAGCATGAGGCCCACCTGGTAATTGATCTTACGAAGCTGCACCGCATTGCCTAACACCATCAGAGACACCACAAGAAACTGCGCTACGCCGGATCCTGTGTGCTTGAAGCCCGGCATTATCACGAGAAACTGCGATGCTCTGGGACCTCCCTGACTGATGCCCACCAATGCGAAAACCCGCCACCGCTCCTGCACGTTGTGGACGTGTCCTGGTGCCAAATGCTGCCTGGTAGGGCTTCTGTGTTCTAATACGCCCCCCCTCTCTTTGCCAGCAGAGTGCCACGTCCCCCGCCTCCCGAGGCCACGATCACTCGAAAAAGAAACGATGGGCCCGCGCTCCCGAGGCCACGATACCCTGTTAAAAACGATGGGCGCCCCGAGCTTCCAAGACGACCCATGCAAGCAACCAGGGTACCCTCCAATCCGGGCCAAGATGGCTCCAAGGCGGCCACGTATCGCCTCAAGACGGCCCAGGACGCCTCCACAAGAGGGCACGACAAAAGGCTACACGAGGACCTCCAACGGAGTCCGAAGAAGCCAAAATCAGTTGTGTCGCACAGCACGTTTTGTAATAGTCACATTCTCACTGTTTCGGGCTTCCGTCAGCTCAGCACGGCCCCGGAAGTCTCAACGACGGCCCAACGACGGCCCGAGGGGCCCCCACGAGGGTCCAAAGATGGCCCAAGAGAACCCCACGAGGGCCCAAAAGGCATCCAACACGGCCCCGAGACAGCCCAAGAAGGCCTCTGGTGGGACCCAAGACGGCCGTACTTCGACCGTCCGAAGACGGCCCCACGACGGCCCCTGGACAACCACCATACGGCCAACAGGGCCCCAAGACGGCCCAAGAGAGCCTCAAGACGGCTCAAGGGGGGGCCAAGACTGCCCAAGAGGGCCCCAAGGGGCTCCCAAGACTGCCCCACAGGAGGCCAAGACAGCCCTAAGACGGCCAGACCGAGCTCCATGCGAGCTCGCGAATAAAATCGAGTTTGATTGGAGAGGACACGCGAGAAGACAAAAGACCGTCCAAGAAGTCCAGAGTCGTTAAACACAGGACACAGGGGTACCCTTGACTCGGCAGGGTCGACCTACTAATCAAGCCCGACGGTAGTGAAGAAACAAGGTGTCACATGTGAGGACCTTCCTATCCCTCCTCCGCCTCCTGCTCATCTTCCTCATTCTCATCCTGATGCTCCTCCTCCTCCTCCTTTCCAAATTATCATCCTCCTCCTCATCCGCCTCCTCCTCCTCATCATCCTCATCATCCTCAGCATCAACATCATCATCATCATCATCATCATCATCATCATCATCATCATCATCATCATCATCATCATCATCGTCATCGTCAGCATCATCAACAACATCATCATCGTCGTCATCAGCATCATAATCATCAGCATCACCAGAAACATCATCACCACGATCATCATCATCATCATCATCATCATCATCATCATCATCATCATCATCATCATCATCATTACCATTCAGCATCATCATCACCATCATCAGCATCATCACCATCATCATCTCATCATACTCACCATAATCATCATTACAATTGCCGCCATCAGCATTACAATCGTCGGCATCACCGTCATCAGCAGCATCATCGGTAATATCATCATCAGCATCAGCAGATTGATCTTCATCATCAACATCAGCAACACCATCTGCGCCATCATCATCAGCAGCATCAGCGGCAGCACCATCATAGTCATATTCATCAGCACCATCATCATCAGCATCTTCATCATCAGCAGAAGCAGCATCATCGTCACAACCACCACCAGCAACATCATCATCATCATCATCATCATCACCAGCAGCATTCATCATCACCGTCGCCAACGACATCATCACCGTCATCCTCCCCCTCGTCGTCGTCGCCGTCGTCAATCATCAGCAACCCCATCTTCATCATAATCAATATCATCATCCGCATCATCATCATTATCGTCATCATCATCATCATCATCAGCCTCAGTATCATCATCAGCACCATCACCATCAACAACAGCATCAATGTTAACATTCGCATCGTCATGTTCGTCATCAGCAGCAGCCGCGGTATCATCAGCAGGAACATCACCATCATCATCGGCGACAGCAGCGGCATCAGCCTCATCATCATCAACATCAACACCGACAACATCATCAACTGCATCATCATCGTCATCATCATCCGTAGCATCATCAAAACATCATCAATATCATCATCATTGTAATCACCATCATCATCATTTTCCTCCCCGTGGACGTCGTCGCCGCCATCGTCATCGTCGCCGTCGTCAATCATCATCATGGTGAGCAACAACACCAGCGTTACCACCATCAGCATCATCATCGTAATCATCAGCAACAACATACAATTATCATCGTCATGCGCATCATCGGCAGCAGCAACATCAGCATCACAATCATCACCATCAGCGGCATCAGCCTCATCATCATCTGCATCATCAGCATCAGCATCATCAACATCAAACATACACAATCATCCGCAGCAACACCATCATCATCGGCACCAACAACATCAGCATCATCATCGTCATCAATTTCATCATCCTGGCCACGGCCCTCCCAGGCCTGGCGCCGCGGAGTCTCACACGTGACGGCCTCGCGCGCCCCCTCAACAACTGCCGCCCCGAATGCTCGACTGGCAGGGTGGCGGCACTGGCCACGAGCAGCTCGGAAAACTGAGGAATTCGGGGCACAGTGCATGCCCTGCTCTGGATCCTGCGTGTATCATTTCTACAGGACACTTTGCTACAGTGGGTCCTCGCACGTTTGAGTCCCAAGAGGCACTTCGTCTCCGAAAGGTCACGCACGGGGTCAATGTGTTCCTCCGCGCTGTTGAAACCAGGAGGAGCAGGAGGGGGGAACCCTCCTCCCTCACTCCTGCGTCCTTTCGCGTCGCCCTGTCCATGCTTACGGCGCTGCCTGCAGCGTCAAAACGCAACGTGCGCTCACCCTTCCTTCCCAGAGCTTCGCCCGAATAATCAGGCTGCGATAAACACCGGGTGCTACGTCAGGACGTCTAGGGAGGGCAGGCGAGGAGAAGGAGAGAGGAAAAGGGAGGGATGAGAGGGAGGCGAAGCGAGGAAGAGAGGAGGAATGGAGGAGAAGGAGGAGGAGGAGAAGGAGAAGGGGGAAATGAGGAGGAGGAGGTGGAGCGTGGCCGAGACGAGTCCGCTCCTGCCATCCTACCCGCCCACGCCCTCCCCACGCGCCTGCGCCGCGATGGGCCCGAGGTGACCGCGACCGAGGAAGTGACGCTGCCTGTCTCTTGTCGGGGGGCGCGTGGCGAGGCGGACAGCAC